TCTTGGGCTCTCAATATCACCTGTACTCAACCCTCCCTGAAACCCTAAACCCCAACAGGTTTCCGGCAGAAACCTTCAAAACCAAGAAGGCCCTCTCCAAAGCTTTTCAAGGCTCGCCTCTCGCGCTTCTGCGGCTCCTCCTTGTGCTTCAGGTGCTTAGGGTTTAGGGTTTGGGGTTCAGGGGTTTAGGGTTGGGTTCAGGAGTTTAGGGTACAGGGATCAAGGGTTCAAGAATTTGGGGTTCAGGAGTTTAGGGTTGGGTTCAGGTTCAGGGATCAAGGGTTCAAGAATTTAGAGTTTAGGGTTTAGGGATCTAGGATATAGGAATGCTTTTGGATGTGACTAGACTTGAGGGCATTGGAGCTTGTTCATGGTTGAGGGTTTGGAGTTCATGGCTTTGTGCTTAGAAGGAGGGAAGGATGCACCCCCAGCAGCACGGTTTGTTGGTTTAGACTCGGTTTCTTCGATGCCATCATATCCGGGCTTTGAGGTTCGGGGTGTCAGCGGGGGCACAGAGCTTTCCCGGAACGCTCCGACAACTGCTGTATGGTATTGGGTTTCGGGTTGGAGCCCCCGAACCCTAAGCCACAAAACTCTAAACCCCTAAACCCTGAACCCTCAAACCCAGAACGAAGCCCTAAACCCGTAAGCCCGGGCTCCAAATTAGGGTTACGTTTAGGGGTCTTTTTTGTAAGGGTGTCGTACCAAATTTTGGGACCTAAAGGGGACCCTAACTTAGACAACTACCAGTATGGAACTACGAAACCCTGGGGGCAAAAAAAGGGTTCACAATATGGATCCGAGTGTTCTGTGGTTATAGGACCAGGGGTTCTTAATCCGGTTCCTACAGTACATAGGAAAGCACTGTTGCCATCCACTCACACGTCTTTATCTCTGTGTGTTGTTGGATCCCCAAAATCTGAATGGAAGCAACGCGCCGGCCTGCTGCGCCCCCGAAGCAGAAACCCGAAAATCACATCTCCAATCACTCAGACAGAAGCCTTGAATCCAAAATCTACTAGCATGCAACCCTAGACAGAGAATAGGCTAGCTGGTACCCTCGCGGTCTCTGCGATGGTGTAATCACTATGTCATGTGTGAATGCTGCTCTTGTCTCTGTCTGTCTGTTGGTCGGTCGGTCGGTCGGCCGGTCTGTCTGTCTGTCTGTCGCTCTCGCTCTCGCTCTCGCTCTCGCTCTCGCTCTCGCTCTCGCTCTCGCTCTCGCTCTCGCTCTCGCTCTCGCTCTCTCTCTCTCTCTCTCTCTCTCTCTCTCTCTCTCTCTCTCTCTCTCTCTCTCTCTCTCTCTCTCTCTCTCTCTCTCTCTCTTTCTCTTTTTTTTTATGCTGGATACTTTTAAATTTCTTTTTCCGTCCGTCCATCTGCTACTTGTTTCTGTCGGGCTTTGGTAATCTTCCGTAGCCCGGTGATAAATCTTCAGATCGTGTGCGAGAAAGGGCCGTTTTGGACTGCTGAGGTGAGAGCAGCTGGAGAAGGATGGGCAAGCAGAACGCTGTGGCACGCAGCTTAGGTCGCATGTTATGCTTGTGCGTTTTGTCGGCTGCTCTTTTTAGCAAGGGTAGGTCAGAAGCCATCTTGCCAACGATGTCGAGAGCACGCGACAGATTTGAGACCTTTGTCTTTGTTTTGTTGATGTCATTGATTTGTTTTACAAGTGTTCGCGTCCGGCGTCAACAATTATGCACACTCCCTTCTGTCTCCCAAGTGCATCGTGGAGGTATTGGCATACGAGAGCTAAAGCAGACAGGCAGCGAGCATTTTGGAATATCCACGTACCACATTCCCTTCCTGATGTTCATGTGTTCGCTCTACGAAGTGAATCTCGACAGCGCACAGGTTCACCAATCTCCTTTCCCGGAGACAGAAGTTTTGCGATGTCCTATCGGTGCATCGAAGTGGCCCATGCAGCTTAACGTTGCTTCCTGCCTCAGTTTGAGGTGCCGGACACCGTTGTGATGGCGAAATCCGGCTGCTCGAAGCTCAGGAGCTCGGGAGCGAGTGCTCTGTGCCGATGACGATGTGGCCGGGGAAGCAGCCATCATAGACATGCCTTGTAAACATCTGCGGAGGTCAGCGCGACCTCTCTAGGTCTTGCGTGATTAACTTGACAGTCGCACTTGCGTGTGCCAACATCGTTGCTTGGTCCTCAGCCGCTTTTTTTCCAATCCGTACACTTCTTTTAATGAAGCAATCGTCCGCTACAAGATGATGCAGGCGACTGGGATTGCGACATTGGTCAGCATTGCTAGTGTCTGAAGAAGTCGTGGAAAGGGAGGGTGAGATGGCCTTGCCTACATTCGTACCGAAGATGCAGGTATCGTGAGGTATTGTGTGGCAAGTTCCATAAACATTCAGAAGTAAGTTCTTTCAGGCGGAGGTTGCTCCTGTTTCGAGGTCAGCTCACTTGTTCTCCTTTCTCCGCAGGTGAGCCGCTTTCTGGTGATCGCTTTGGTGGGATGGTTCTCCGGGGCCGGAGTCCAGTCCTACAAGTTGACCGATTCGCCCGTCAACCTCACCAGCTCAAACGACCCGACAGTCGCTCAAAAGGCCAGAGCACCGTGGTGACGAGAGTCTTCCGCATTCCTCCGAAACGCCGCCCTGCTAGGTGGAGAAATTGGTGGAGAAGAACTTGGTAAACGACGCCGAAGACGACGGCAAGTTTCCTAGGCCCGAGGAGGCCGGCAGCAGGTCTCTACTTGGAAGGGCAGGGGACTTAGTAAGTAGGTTATAAGTAGGGTTATAATTGGGGTAGCTCCATTTAGGGTACTTATAACTCTACTTATAACCTACTTACTAAGTGCCCTGCCCCTCCAAGTAGTTTGTTGTCAGAAACCTGGAGGGCATTGCATCCTTGATGTTGCTTCTGCTTCATGTCCGAGGCACCCAGACGCATGCCTATTGCTCATGATTTGAATCCTGTATTACCTTAAGGACCCTCAACTATCGGAAATATGGTATATTCCTTCTAATTTTTATTGCAGGATTTTTCCCCTCCCCCGTACTAGTGGTAGGTGCAAGAGAAAACTTCGAAGATTATGAAAATCAACCCTAAACCCCTAAAGCCCGAAACCCCTAAGCCTCTAAACCCCTACTAAACCTCTAAGACCCGTAGTAATAGTAATAGTAATAGTAATAGTAATAGTAATAGTAATAGTAATAGTAATAGTAATAGTAATAGTAAGAGTAAGAGTAAGAGTAAGAGTAAGAGTAAGAGTAAGAGTAAGAGTAATAGTAATAGTAATAGTAATAGTAAAGCGAGGAAGGCAACTCCACTAACGGCTCAGACTTCGCCGATCTGGCCCGGCACCTCGAGTTCATGATGCTGAAGGCGCTCCTTTGTGGGTTTTGGGCCCCTACACCCTAAACGCTAAACCCTAAACCCTAGACCCCCTAAACCCCTAAACCCCCTAAACCTCTGACTTGAAGCCAGAGAGCTCCTTTCCTGCAGATGGCACAAATGGAGACCATCGTCCAGTTACAGCAAGCCGAGATCGCCGCGCTGCAGGTCGAGAACGAGGCCATCAAAGCGCAGATTGGTTGCCTGACTGCTTTTTTTTGGCAACATCTACATACTCATTGATCTACTCCTATGCGACGTACCATGCCTTACATGATTAATTGCGTCCTTCACGCCGAAGAAAGCCCACCAAGGTTTGGACGTCCAGCATGTCGCGATGGCACAGAAGCGGTCGCGGGATCCCCATGCAGCAAGCACCGTCCTGAAGAAGATTCTTACCTTTGGTTAGTAGGGAATGGAGGAATGGGGTAGAATTATAACTGCTATTATTACCATTCTTCCATTTCCCACTAACCAACGGTAAGGATTCTGGACAAGCACCACCGCCAACGCGAGACTCGCGCGTATCATCCCGACGCCAACAAGGAGCCCGGGAGCCGTCCCTCAATAGTTACACTCATACACATAATAATAATAATGATAATAGTTATACTTCTACTACTAATAATGATAGTTATACTTATGCAAATACTAATAGTTATAATTATACTACTAATAATAATACAAATTTCTGTGAAGGGCTTTTCCAAAGCGCACTGCCAGGAGCCTGTGGCCGAGGATAACGCCGAGGATCCACCAGGAGGAAGCCAGGAGGAGGCGCTGCTCCAGCGTCAGGCACGGAGGGGCCGGAGGGGCTGCTACCAATAATGAATATACTACAACAAATGTATTGCTATGACTATTCTTTTCTACTACTACTACTACTACTACGACGACGACGACGACTACTACTACTACTACTACTCCTACTACTGCTACTACTACTGCTACTACTACTGCTGCTACTACTACTACTACTACTCCTGCTACTGCTACTACTACTAGTGCTACTAGTACTACTGGTACTACTAGTACTACTAGTACTACTAGTACTACTAGTCCTACTAGTACTACTAGTACTACTAGTACTGCTACTGCTACTGCTACTAGCATTAGGATGGGGGGGTTGAAGAAAGACTATGACATACTATGACTATCTTGGAGGGTCGGGGGACTTAGTAACAGGTTATTTTCGGGACTTATAAGTACCATAGCCCCGATGAGGGTCCCTTGAAGGGTGCTTATAAGTCTACTTACTACCTACTTACTAAGTCCCCCGACCCTCCAAGATATGAGCTGCTTCAAGGCACGGAGCTCGGAGAAGGGGGAAGCTGCAGAGCAAGCAAGTGGAATCCCTTCCAGGAGATCCCCTAAACTCTAAAACCCTAAAATACTAAACCCTAAAACCTTAAACCCTAAAACCCTAAAACCCTAAAACCCTGAACCCTAAACCCAAAAACCCTAAAACCCTGAACCGTGGAAGTGGAATCCTTTCCAGGAGATCCAGAATACCATTAACAAAGCGGTCGATGCTGTCGACGGCACTGGCCTGACCGGTGATACCTTGAGAGATGCCTTCAATACAGTGAAGGAGAAGGGCAAAGCAGTGGAGTTTATTCAGAACACAGTGATCGACACTGTCGAGATGGCAACCACGATTCTAATGAACTTCAAAGGCTTTAAATTCGATTCGAAGTGCAGCACCGATACTCCGAATGCCTGGCTGGCCGGCGAATACCTTCAAATCCAGTTCGGCAAACTTAATTGCGAGGTGACTCTTGTTGGCAAGAAAATCGTTCTCTTCGATACCAAGTGGCCGCAAAGAAGCATTCATTTTCCCATCGGATTGAACCACTTGCCGCAGCAGATCCGGAGTGTTGCCGGGGCAAGTACGGAGGCCGTCGACAGGGTACTCAAATTCATCCACGATGTGCTGAACACGGGGCATTGCGACAGAGGCAACACGTTCCACTGCATAGCCAAGCGGTTGTCCCGCTACGTCATGGAGTTTGAACCGCCACTAAGCTGGCTGCCTCAACAGGTCAAGAGTGTTGCCGGGGCAAGTACGGAGGCCGTCGACAGGGTACTCAAATTCATCCACGATGTGCTGAACACGGGGCACTGTGACAGAGGCAACACGTTCCATTGTATTGCCAAGCGGTTGTCCCGCTACGTCATGGAGTTTGAACCGCCACTAAACTGGCTGCCCAGTCCTGTCGGTGTTCTGGCAAACTCACCTCTCGACTCCATCAAGAGCGTGATGGCCATGGGGAAGGACCTGATGCATTGCCAGCACTTCGAATCAGGCTCGGAGACGATGAAATGCCTTGGCTTCAAGATCATCGGGCTGGTGCCGCCCTTGAACTTCTTGAACCACCTGGGTGAAGTGATTGTCGAAACCGTCGAGGCATTTGCGAAGGCAGCCACAGCCTTGGTGAAGAAGGCCTTGAAGGGTGGCACTTCCCTGATCCAGAGGGCTAGTTTGTCCGACTTCCCTGCGATCGGAAAGATGCCAGTTCGCCATCAGCAGGGAGACCTGATCGTAGAGCTGCACTCTCAAGAGCCACATCCGTCACTTCTGGAGTTCTCTTCGGCACTGGGGCAGCAAGAGAGGGGCGGCCATGACTCGGAGGGCCCAGGGATCAAGTTGAAGGACGGTGAGGACGTCCGTGCCACGAACCTGATCACGCAGTTCGATGGCAGGGAAGCCAATTCAGGCTCCTGCCTGGCCTTCGCTCCCCGGAACAAGAACGGGGCCCATGTTGGCAACCACCAGGAGGCTACGAAAGACGACTGGTCCTCGGCGAAGAAGGAGGACTTCGTGCAGCTGGAGCCCTGGGCGGTGCCCTGCGACAACACCTGGATGAAGGAGTCCGAGAGTTTAATCACGGCACGCCGCGACATGTTGGCAAGCCATGCTAGTGTGGTTCTAGTAGATGCTTGATGACTGCTTGTGAAGTGACAGGACAATTGGAACAAGTGGCAAGGCTACTCCTTTTACACCGGAACGACCGTCATCGAGAAGTGCCTGTCCGTAACCTTCAAAATCGACATCCAGCCTGTGGTCGCCTTCATCGCCGGCTTTTCCATCAAGTTTTTGCCGACCCTCTTCGACTTGGTCACCACCGTGTGTTGGCCCAACCACATGCCGGGTGGCCTCGACTTGTCCGTCCTACGCTCGGAGCTGAAAACCGGCGATCACCTGCTGTTCAGCCGGACCTTGCGGCTTGCAAAGCGCTTTGGCTCTCACACGGACTTCGTGAAGAAAAACTTGGGCCAGGGCTACCAAACTTGGAGATCACCGCTGGGTATCGCCAAGAGCGAGAGCAAGGCTGCATTCGCACCTATGTCGCTCTTGGACGGCAATCGAAGCCACGTCGGAGATGCCAAGGAAGAGGGCGAGGTGGAGGCAGAGTCCTGGTATTGGAAGACCGAGACCGAGAACCTCTACCTAGCATCCGTCGACTATGGTGATGCCATGGAGGCGAACACGACCTGGGAGATGCATGGGGCGGATGCGGCACGGCACTTGAGTGCAATGCAGGAGGCTCAGGCGCAGGGCAAGGACAACATCATTCAGCTCTTCGACTTCAAGAAGCCCGGAATGACAAATTTCGAGGTCCAAGGCCTTCTCAACGGCAACAGCCTCGAGTTGGGCCTCCAGATGGGCTACGGGCCTTTTCAGAGCCCAAAAAAGAGAATCCCTTTGGCCGACATCGGGGTCCAGTTTGCTGTGATCCTCGCAGCAGTCTCCTGGATTTCGGTCGAAACGAAGAAGACGGCGATCGCTGCCTTGCGGGACTTTTCGACCGAGGACGCTGGGCGGGTCCAGGGGCTTCCGCTGAGGCCAGGCTCCGTCATTGCCTTCCACAGCAAGGCGCACAACCGCTATCTCTCATTATATGGCGAAAAGCTCTACGGCAGCCACCATGCGAATGCCGATGGGATCGGAGATGCGTGGACCGACCAGCGCTTCACGGTGGTGGACGGGAAGGGCGGTTGGCTCGCATTCCACAACGCCGTTCACAACAGGTTCGTCAAGTCGTTTGGCAGTGCCTCGGCGGCTGTAGGTCTAGGTATGCCAACGAGCAGCGTTTCGGTTGGCCAAGTGATTGATAGTGCATTCTTTTTTTTTTTCTCTCTCTGTCTCTCTCTCTCTCCCTCCCTCTCCCTCCCTCTCCCTCCCTCTCCCTCCCTCTCCCTCCCTCTCCCTCTCTCTCTCCCTCTCCCTCCTCCCCTCTCTTCCACGGCACACGACCAAGACGAGAAAATCCTGCGGAAGCATCTGCCCAACCCATCCTTTCGAGCGGCCCTTGCCTTTTTCCTATGAAATCATCGGGTGTCGAAGCAGAAAACTTCTTGCATACTGCAACAACTAATCCCGCTAATTTGCCGCAGTGTTCGGAACAGCCCCATCCAGCGATCCGGCAGTATGTGCCGGACTTCGGGCTTGTGCCAGAGAACACATCGTAAACTACAGCACAGTATTTGCCACAGCATTGTGGAAGAGACTCCATACAATTCCGTACTGCCGGGCGATGTTGTCACATGTCGACCACGACTGCCTCTAGCACTTCCACCATGCCGCAACGGATGCTCTTGCGCACGATTCTACTCTGCATGGCCTCAACTCTTCCCAATCCCCTCATTGCAGTTTTTTCCGTGCAGGTGGAGTCAGCCCTCACAAAAATGCAGACGACCTTCCCGATGGGTGGTGGGGGGAGAAGTGGCACGTGGTGGATGCTGGAAATGGAGAGATTGCCTTGCACAGCCATGGTAAAGCCTTCCTGGGTCTGAGGGCTGACGGTACGTACTTCTACACGCACGGCGGTCTTGACCAGCTGCCTCATGACTCAGCCCTGCGCTTCACAGTCGTGGAGGCGGCGGTGAAGCTGCCGGTCGGATCCACGGTGGCCCTCTACAACACCCTCCACCGAAAGTTCATTTCAATGGACAATGGCCACCTGAAGTCAAGCCCGGTTAGAGAGGCCGGCGACGTTCCCGATGAATGGACCCATGAGCGCTTCACCGTCATCAAGAAGAATGGCCACTCCATTGCGCTGCACAACTCGAGGTGGAACCGCTTCATCAAGATTAATGGAGTGAGCCCCCACAAGAATCCGGATCAACTTCCCGCCGGCTGGGGCATGGAGGCCTTCGTGGTCCGACCTGCAGTTGATGGAGAGCTTATGCTGTGGAACGACCACAACAGATTTGTTCAGATGCGACATGGGGGGGATGTGAGCGAGAGTCACCACCCTCCCGGCGGCATCCTCAACACGCGTGGCTGGGCATGGGAGCGTTTCCTTGCCGTCCCTGTGAAGCCGTACCTTGAGCCGGGAACAGTCGTGGCCTTGCACAGCGCTGCCCACAACCGGTTCCTGCTGATGCAAAATGACGGCCTCATGGGTCGAAGCTCACCCAAAAACGTGGATGACTTGCCGAGCCACTGGAATCAAGAGCGCTTCCGCGTGGTTGATGCAGGCAATGGTCAGGTCGGCCTCTGGAACCTAGCCCACAAACGGTTTGCATCGATGAAGGGCTGTGATCGCCGGATGGAAAGTCATCACGAGAGGCTCGGGTGGGAAGCATTCACAGTTGTGCCCAGTGAGTCAACCTTTCGTGGGGTGATTGGCTTGCACAGCACACACCACAACTGCTTCGTGCGGATGTCATCGAGTACAGCAGACAGCAGTGTCCCCAAGACGATCCAGGACTTTCCGCCCCCGAATGAGTGGGCATGGGAGCGCTTCCACATCGTGCTTGCAGGAGACGGATCGAGCGAGCCTGTCGGCAAAAAGTTGGACGTGTCGCTCTCCTGAGGCCACTTGGTCAACTTTCCTAGGCAACAAACGAAAACTTGTGGCTTTTGGGCGAAAGTCGAAAAGAGAAAGAGCCGGCATGAAGTCTGCCTACGGCAGTGTGCTTTCCCTTGCAGGGTGGGCCGCTCTGCTCTCACCAAGGAATGCCACAGCTTGGAGTTTCGCGTCAGGCCGGCCTGGGTCCGTTCTCCAAAGAGTTGAAGCTGTCGTGGTGCATGATGGCATGTTGTGTGGGTGTGCGGGCAGTTGAGGCCATGGTGTGAAAGGTCTTTCTCACCAGCTGTCGGCGGCTGGGAGCCCGACAGCCCTTTCTCGTTGTTAAGTGAAAGAATTCCCAGAAGCTTCGACGCAGGAAGTGCACGGTGTGCGGTTTGTGATTTGGGTCACACCTGAGTCTCGACAGACACATACGAATACAACTCTAATGTAGGAGCCTAAACAATTACCAATACTGTTTTGGGGGGTCCTTATTATAAGTATAGTGTGATGGGCCCCAAAACCCTATGCTAATTATCAAGGCCCCTATATTAGTGTGTTGCGCATCGCATCGTGGCATCGGCACCTGTACCGCTGGCCGACACGGTAGCGACGCAGTCTCGGCCATGGGCCACAATAAGCTAAGCCCAAGCGCCGCTTTGGAGAAAGAGTCAGTGCACTTAAAAAAAAATAAGCCGGTGTTGCGAGGTTTCCTCGAAGCCATTAATGGTGGGAGTGACACCATCATCGATGCGTGCCCTCGGTGGATGAAAGAAGCAAAATGGGAGTTTCCCAACATATGGGACCCCAAAATACTACGCTTCTTAGTACCCTAATATTCGGGAACCCTCAAATATGGCCTGGGCTTGATAGAGACAGAGACCGGAGCCTTAGGGGGAAAACAAGGGTTTCACCGGTTTTTAGGGTCTGGGTGGCGGAGGGTCGGGGTCTGGAGCGAGTGTGGTTGTTGAAAGAATGATATGCATGACACATTGGTCAAGATGCTGGTTGTTTATGCGAGAGAAATTGCTTTTTTTTGGTTATGTGCATGATTAGCTTGAAGCATGTTGCCCCGCATCCGCCGGCGACATGTTGGCTCAAGGTGTTCTAAGCCAGACTTCCGTATTCTGCCGGATCCTTCCGCTCCCGGGACCGTCCCGTGCTCGATGCAATTAAACTGAATTTCAATCTTTGAATCTTTAGCATTTAACCGGAATTGCCACAGTAATGTTCCGTTGCTCAATCCTGACGACGAGCATGCGCATGAGTCCGCGATGACGGGCAATTTTGTGTGCGTTCAGCCCCCGGACCAAAGTCGAGCTTGACAGCTCGTGTCTTGCAGTCTTATGCCCGCAATCGCCAACCCGCCAACCCTGGGCCCCAAACCTTCGGACGTGGCAGCAATGGTGGTGGATGCTTCTGCAGGGCAAAAGCCATGATGCTGGCCCGGCTGCTTTCACTTCTCTGGTGCCTCGGTAGGTCGGTGGTGCTAGAAGCTTTAGTCAGCTTCTTACCAACATCCTTGTATACTCCTTGGGAAACTGTACCAGAATATGATACTTGCAAAACCTTGGGTGGAGGGTTGAGGGTTTATGAGGGTTTAACAGTGGGAGTTGATAGTTTCAGGACAAGCTCATCGGTAGTTCAACGTAAGATCTTTAACTCAACCCCCTCTCACGAAGATGCCCCATGACACCCGTCATTTGTTCATTATAGGCGAGTCCAAAGCATGCTTTGCACGCAGCTCCAGAACCCGAAGCCCGAAACCTTGGACTCTAAATCCTTTAGTTAGAAGAGACCCTAAGCTCTTGGATTCTCAATATCAGCCTAAGCCCTAGGGTTTAGGACTTTAGGGTTTTAGGGTTTAGGACTTTAGGGTTTAGGGTTTAGGATTTTAGGGTTTAGGATTTTAGGATTTTAGGGTAACCACCCGGCACCCTCGATTTTAAACCCTAAACCCTGGGCCCCCCCTACAGAATCCTCCCTCCAACTCGCAAGGCTAGCCTCTCGCGCTTCTGCTGCTCCTCGCAGGGGAGATCTTGAGCTTCAGGCGCGCATAGGGTTTAGGGTTTAGGGATGTGGGCTTCAGGGTTTAGGGTTTGGAGTTCAGGGCTGACTTTTTCAAGTTTAGGGGTTTGGGTTAAGGTTCAGCCTTCAGGGTTCAGGTCAGGGCCGCAGGATTCAGGTTTTAGGTTATGAGTGCGCTTGGATGTGAATAGACTTGCTTCTGGGTTGAAGTCTTGATGGTTTCAGTGTATTGACGCTTTGGGGCTTACTTGGAGGGTCGGGGGACTTAGTGTCTGGTTATTTTAGGGACTTATAAGTACCATAACCCCAATTAGGGACCCCTTTAGGGTACTTATAGGTCTACTTACTACCTACTTACTAAGTCCCCCGACCCTCCAAGTACACACTAAGTTCGTTGTCGACTCGATACTCCACGGTCAGAGTTTGAGGTTGTGAAGTTACGAGAGCGCTGAATGACCCTAAAAGCTAAACCCTCAAACTCTCAATCAAAACCCTGAAGCCCCAATCATACGGTTTTGAGGTTCGGGATAAACGAGTCCACGAACGTGAGTCGTACATGTGCATGTGTATGTATGTATGTACGTACGTACAATACACACACATACACACACATATATATATATATATATATGTATGTATGTACATCTATATAATATTGTATAAATAAGAATAATTATCATTATCATTATTATTTTCAGGTTTAAAGCCGAATTCTATCCGCTGTGTTTTTGCTGTTTTACGGCTTTCAGAACATCGACACAGCGGCTACTAACTAAAATTAGCAGATGATTTGACCAAGTTTAGCTAGTGGTACTAGTTAAAGTAGTTGAAATAGTCTTAACACTAATATAATTAAGATTGTTATTATCATTCGTAGTAGTATTCGTATTTTATAGAGATGAGTGTGATGGACACAGAGATGGTGATGTAATGAAGAACTTAATTTTCGCATGTGAATTTGAGTATAAAATGATGTAGAAATATTTTCAAGAAACTTTAAATATCTCTAACCTAATAGTGTTAGTATCTATTAGATATACTATGTCCTTCAATTCTACATTTTTTCGTATAGTATTCATTGTACTCATTGCCTTCTACAGCATGGACCATCGGCCACTGCGCACGAAGACACCCTAAACCCTAAACCCTAAACCCTAAACCCTAAAACCCTGAACCCTGCAGCTTGAAAGCGTCAGAAATCTGGCTCAGGTGCCGCCCGAAGGCATCGAATCCGAGGCCGCTGTGTTTTGTCCGATGCTGCACGGGTTCTGGGTTTGGGTTTCAGAAAAGTACATTGTGGCGGCCTGCGTTTTGTGGGTTTAGTCAAAGTAGACGTCCCATAAAACATGTATGATTATTGGGTTTGGGGTTCAGGGTCTAGGGTCTAGGTAAAGTTTTCTGGTTTTAGGGTCTAGGGTCCTAATGTCTAGGGTTCAAGGTTCAGGGTCTAGGGCCTAATGTCCAAAGTTTAGGGTTTGGGGTTTTTGGAGAACGTCGGGACTCCAAGCGTTGCGGCACAGTTAAGAGTGCATGGCCCGTGTTTCGTGCGTCGGGTGATGGGGTGTACAGATAGCACACCAGCTTTGCCGCCTTTGTACCCTACCGATGCTCTTGTGACTGCATGCTGCGCTGAAGTGCTGGCGGTGGTCGTGGGTGGCTAAGTAGCATTGTATTTCATCGTGCAGATAACCTAAACGGAAAGAAGATCCGTTTGGATCAGAACGAGAGCGCAACTACAGGTTCCCTTATGTTTAAAGCCCTGAGCTTTATGCCCCGTAGATTTGACGCTGGGCCTCGCAATCCTTATGTCTCATCTAACATAGTGTAATATCACTAATGATAGTAGTATCACTACTAATGCTAACATGAACATGAACATGGGTATTCACGGTAATTTTCGTTTTCCTTTCGTATTCGTATCGATAGTAATGTAATATTAGTCTTAAGATGAATATACTATACTATAGCATACTGTGGTGTAGCCTAGCCTCCAAAAACCCCTAATCCCTTAACCCCTAACCCCCTTAACCCCTTAACCCCTAAACCCCTAAACCCTAAACCCTAAACCCTAAACCCTAAACCCCTAAACCCTAAACCCTAAACCCTAAACCCTAAACCCTAAACCCTAAACCCTAAACCCCTAAACCCCTGAACCCTAAACCTTAAACCCTCAACCCTAAACCCCAGAGCAGCCTCTCTGAGCCTTTGAGACCAGAGCGATGGCTCTAACCCTTCCTGAAGTTGAGAAATATTTGGAGCTGTGTATCAGTGAGCGATAGTATAGTAGAGTACAGTATCTATTATACTATATACTATACTATAGTATACGACACTATGCTATACCATACTATACTATACTGTACTACAGTAGACCAGACTAGACTATAATATACTATAGTATAGTATACCACGCTATAAGGTAAGATGATACAACATGTCAGGTCCTGCGCCCACGCCCGCTGATTCGCCGTCATCTCCCCTCGGAGGCTTCCTTTCACCTCTCTCCGGCCGTCCCCTTGGAAGTCCCTTTAACAAAGGAGCCCTCAGGGGAGCCCTTAAGGGAGCCTCTCAGGGTGCCCTTAAAGGAAGCTTCCGAGGGCAGAACCCAGACGCCGGAAGGGACTAGGGCCGCGAGTCTGCTCGTGCCCCTCGGCGAAGCTGCAGATAAATACCACAGGGTTGAGTTTTCAAGGGTATTCGGGCTTAGGGTTTAGGGTTTGGGGTTTAGGGTTTAGGGTGGCCTTTCTCGTTTCTTTTCGGATTGTGGGGCTTGACTTCCGCAGTCAAGAGCGCATGTGATCCTCCGAAGAACCACAAGGCATCCCGACTGTCGGTCAACAGATGCATAGTGCAGCAAACCTGAATGCTGCAGTTATGCTTCTGATAAATACGAGTACTCAGGCTCATGCTCATACTCATGCTCATACTCATACGCAAACTAACTAACACTACTACTACTAGTAGTACTAATACTAATACTAATGCCAATACTATTATTAATGCAAATATGCGAATAATCAGACCACCAATCATCCCGCTACTGTTCAGCTGGCTATCCTTCGCCATTGGAGGGGTCCGCCGGGCCGCGAAACCTGAAGGCCCCAGAAAGGGCTCCAAAGGTAGGGAGGAAGTAGGTGGGGTAATCTCTAAACCCTAAGCCCTGAACCGTAAACCCTAAGCCCTGAACCCGAAACCCTAAGCCCTGAACCCGAAACCCTAAGCCCTGAACCGTAAACCCTAAACCCAAACCCTTTGCAGCCCGAAGCCCAAGTTGCAAAACCCCGCGAACAACTGCTGAAGGCGACAGAAGCCTCTGAAGGAGTCCTGAAGTTCCCCATCCGCCGTAAGTAACACTTGAAACTATGGCAAGGCTAATTACAAGAACTATAGAAATAGCAATGATAGCAATGATAGAAATGACTGTAGTTATAGTAATAGTAAGGATAGTCATACTCATGGTAATAGCAGAAACTGTAATAATAGTAACAATGACACTAATGGTAGTAATATAACCCTAAACCCTAAACCCCTAAACCCCTACACCCTAAACCCTAAACCCACAGCTGCTGGAGGCAGGACCTCGGACATGGGTCGCTGTCATGGTATCTCTGGGTAGGGCTGTGCCTCGGCTCGTGCTGAGGCCATCGGGCCGCTGATTTTTTTTCATTTTCAAGCTTTTCGGGGTCTTTAGGGTTTAGGGGTTTAGGGTTTAGGGTTTAGGGTTTAGGGTTTAGGGTTTTAGGGTTTTAGGGTTTTAGGGGTTTAGGGTTTAGGGTCTTCACGGTTTTGAGGGTATCAGGATTTTGGACTTAGAGCTCAGGGTTTCGAACGCGGGACGTGCAGACCCTTTGCGTGCGTCAGCGTCGACACCTCTTGCCTCGTGCTCTACCTCTGCGAATATCGTCGAAGTACCCTAAACCCTAAATCGTGAGCCTGAAACCCTAAGCCCCAAACCTTAAACGTTATAAACCCCAAACCCGAAATCCTCCATGGCTTTCCAAAGTTCGTTCCCGGAGTCTGAACACTCAGAGCTATTATCAGTCTTAATTTTTTTTTACCAAGCTCGTTTTTACTATTATTTGTCAGTAGCATCATCGTGCCAGGTAGACACAGTAAACCCCAAACTCTCAACCATAAACAAACTCGCCAAGAATGAGATGAATGGAAATTGTCTGTCTTTGCGCACCGTACCTAAACCCCAAACCCTAAACCCTAAACCCTAAACCTAAGCCGCCATCCCCGACCGCCAGCCCCCGACAAACGGAAGCCAAAAGCCAGCACTGCTTGGAGGGTCGGGGGACTTAGTAACTGATTATTTTAGGGACTTATAAGTGCCAACCCCAATTAGGGTCCCTTTTAGGGTACTCACCTTCTTACTAAGTCCCCCGACCCTCCAAGTAATCCTTAAACCCTAAACCGTAATCCCTAAACCCTACTCCTTAAATCCTAAACCCTACACCCTAAGCCCTACACCCTAAAGCCTAAACCCTAACCCCACAATTCCAAAAGCAAAGCCCAAATGCAAAAAGGCAAAACCCGTTCAGCACTTTCGCTCAAAGCTTTCGGTCGAAACACCCATCCCAAACCTAATACAATTTCCACCAATCCCTAAACCCTAGACCCTAAACCGTAAGCCCCAACTCCACGGTTTAGGGTTTAGGGCTTCAGGGTTTCGGGTTTTAGGTTTTAGGGTTCAGGGTTCTCAGTATTGGGGTTTTAGGGTTTAGGGTTTTTAGGTTTTAGGGTTTTTAGAGTTTAACGCCGACGACCGCAGCCTTTCCCGAGGCTCTCGTCCTCACTTGGGGCCGCGCTCACGGGCCTCAGCCTCTGGCGCGGCTTCTGCGTGGAGGTGGCCGCCGAGGAGCCCGGAGCATTCACTTGGAGGGTCTTTAGGGACTCTGTGGCTGGTTGGGGGCCCGAGGGTTCCCTTTAAAGGGCTCCTTTTAAAGGGGTCTATAGGGGCTACTACAAGGGATCTATAAGGGTACTATACTGTCGGGGGACTTAGTAACTGGTTCTTTTAGGGACTTATAAGTACCATAACCCCAATTAGGGTCCCTTTTAGGGTACTTATAAGTCTACTTACTATCTACTTACTAAGTCCCCCGACCCTCCAAGCAGGGGATTGAAGGGTTCTGTAACTGTCAGGGTTCTATGATTAAAGGAAGGGTTCTCTATAAGGGTTCTACAACTAAGGGATCAATAAGAGTTCTGTGTGGGTTCTAGAATGAGGGGTTTTATGGGGGTTTGGGGTTGACGGTCCACGAGCTTTGGAGTTTGGGGGTTTTGGGTTGAGTGGGCTTACTTGGAGGTTCATGGGTAGTTATAAGTCGGGTGACCGTAACTCTAACCCATTTGGAGACTTATAACCTGATTGGTAACCACCCATGAACTTCCAATTAGGGTTTAGCATGTATGACTTGTTTTCCGAAGCCCCGAGTCTTAAAGTCATGAATGCGAAAACATGAAATACTCAATACATACGAAGCAGTATTTAATGTATCATACATCTTATATAGTATATGATAAGCCGACTTCCTGCTTGTTGAGTTGGGGGAGTTGGCTAACTCCCGTTCCTGTTGAGACGCTCACGCCACTGTTGCCTGCCAGTGCTCCGAAAACCAGGAAGTCGTGCGCAATCGGTATTTTCGAGCTCTTCGCTTGGGCAGTCTACTCAAGAAAGGCGTGGTGCGTAGAGCACCTAACCCCAAATTCTGGGCCCTAAACCCTCTGGGAAAACCCTAAACACCAAAGCTTCAAAACCACAAATCTCAAAACCCCAATCATCTCCTAGTGCTGCAAGGAGCTGGTTCCGCCGCGCCCAGGGCACGTCACGTCCCCTTGCTGCAGGAAGCACTTGGAGGGTCGGGGGGCTTAGTAAGTAGATAGTAAGTAGACTTATAAGTGCCCGAAGAGGGACCCTAATTGGGGTTATGGTACTTATAAGTCCCTAAAATAGCCAGTTACTAAGTCCCCCGACCCTCCAAGTAACTTCATACGTGCATAGCTTCCATAGCCTCGAAGCCTCCGAACCCTGAAGCCTACTCCTCTTCCCAAGATGGGTTTCGGGCCCACTAGCCCGCCTATCTCAGCAGAGAGAACCGTACCTATCCGGTCCATGGAAAAGACAGCACACCCTGAACCCTAAAAACCCTAGTCCCTAAACCGCGGCTGCAGTCGAGGTCTGTGTTTCAGATCCTGTGCATCACGAGCCTCAACATCGGCTACGGTGCGATGGCGGCGACCATGGCCATCTTCGTCCTCCCCAAGGCTACAAGAAAGACGCCGTGACAAGAGCTTTTACTTTCAATTGAGGCTTTCAGGATCTTTTTTGGGTTCAGGCTTGAGCCTTAGCCGAGTTAATTCTGGGTTCGGAGTCGGGCCTTTGAATGCGTTGTCGGAGTCATGGTGATGGTGATGGCGCAGCTGGTTGGGGTTGTTGCAGCAGGTCCTGGTGTTGTACAGTGTAGTAAGAAGCAGAAGCACAAGACAAAGGGAGTTGAAGTAGAATCGTCGCCGTCGTACTGTAATAGTGCGTAGTAGCAGAGTAGTAGTAGGAGGAGTAGTAGTACTAGTACTAGTCGTAGTAGTAGTAGTAGTAGTAGCAGTAGTAGTAGTAGTAGTAGTAGTAGCAGTAGTAGTAGTAGTAGTAGTAGTAGTAGTAGTAGTGGTAGTGGTAGTGGTAGTGGTGAGTGGTAGTGGTAGTAGTAGTGGTAGGTAGTGGTAGTAGTAGTAGTAGTAGTAGTAGTAGTAGTAGTAGTAGTAGTAGTAGTAGTAGTAGTAGTAGTAGTAGTAGTAGTAGTAGTAGTAGTAGTAGTAGTAGTAGTAGTAGTAGTGTAGTAGTAGTAGTAGTAGTAGTAGTAGGTGCAGGTGCAGGTGCAGGTGTAGGTGTAGGTGTAGGTGTAGGTGTAGCAGCAGCGGAGTCGGTAGAGTATATTGTCGATGCCGTTTAGGGTTTAGGGTACTCGATCTACCGTTCACTTCCGAATCTACGTAGTGTCGGAGAAGGAGCATATTCGCTGGGACGAGCCACCTTGTTTCATACCCACCATACGGGTTTGTAGAGCAGCTTAGACCACGGATGCTTTTGGCGCTAAACTATAGAGCTCATCTTGATCCCGACAAAACTTTTGATCTGTAAAGCCACAATCCCAACTCTGTTTCACAGCAATGCAGGAGGCAGAGCAGTTCTTTCCCAAGCCTTTCGGCCAGCAGTAGGTGATGTCTTGGGGGCTTCAGCGTTTGGGGGTTAGTGTTGAGGAATTAGCAGCTTTCCCCAAACTGCACCGGCTGGTGCATCGTGGAGTAGCTGGAATAATTCCCAGTCCAAGTCTTCAAAGCCAACCAGCGCCTGAAGCCCGGCCCGGTTTAGGGTTTGGGGCTGAGGGTTTAGGGCCTAAACGTCGTTTTACTTAGGCTGATGAAACTTTGATTGCAACTGACGAGCTAGAGCTTACAAGGGGAGAAGTGGCACAATATCAAAAAACTACTTGCCTATGCTGTGAACTGAAGCACCCTGAACCCGAAGCCCTAAAGCCCAAACCCCAAGTTGCAATCAGTACAAGCCCAGAGAGCCCAATACCCTTAATTCAGCAATATACCTTGAATTATAAGGGGCTTCATATTATGATTTACGCTATATTCCTCAATTAAGGGGTATTGGGCTCTCTGGGAAGCCCCCAAATCCGGCACCCATAGCCTGCCCGTGTACCAGAAGGCACAGGTCCTACACGGTTTACTTGGAGGGTCGGGGGACTTAGTAACCGGTTATTTTGAGGACTTATAAGTATCCTAACCCCAATTAGGGTCCCTTTTAGGGTACTTATAAGTCTACTTACTACCTACTTACTAAGTCCCTGAACCCTAAACCCTAAACCCTAAACCCTATACTACCCTTATAGAGCCCTTTAAAGGAACCCTTAGAATCCCTTTAAAGGAGCCCTTACTAAGTCCCCTAAAGACCCTCCAAGTAGGGTTTAGGGCCTCGAGCTTTACATCTGAGGATCGTGTACTTGGAGGTTCATGAGTAGTTGTAAGTGGGGTTGTAAGCAGGGTGACCATAATCCCAGAGATTCCAATATCCCTTAATTAAGGAATATACCTTAAATCATATGAGGGATCCTACTATACTTTAAGGTCTATTCCTTAACTAAGGAATATTGGAGTCTTTGGGATTACAACCCATGTTAGTCGACTTATGACTTTACGTGTAACTGCGCATGAACCTCCACGTGAGTAGAGTCTTGGGTTTCCCCCTCAGTCACCCAAAACAAAACCCCAAATCCCCAACCCCAAAACCCTGAACCCTAAACCCCAAACACCGAACATAGCCCTGACGGCTGAAGCCAAAGGGCTTGCAGCCGTGAACGTTGAAGTGCTGAACCTTTTAACGCACCCTTTGCTTGGTTTTAGAGTTGCGAGTTTGATAGGGTTTGATAGGGTTTAAACCTTAAACCCTAAAGCTTTATAGGGTCTATAGTCTATAAGGTTTAATGATTTACAGAGTTAGGGGCCTTGGGTTTAAGATTTGAACCCAGGGTTCTCTCACGAGGCAGTCGTCGTTGGGCCTGGGGGAGCGGATCATGGAGACTATTGCCCTGATAGAAACCCTTATAGCAGCCCTTAAAGGAACCCCTAAAGGAACCCCTAAACCCTAAACCCTAAATCCTAAATCCCAAACCCTAAACCCTAAACCCTAAACCCTAAATCCTAAACCCTAAACCCTAAACCCCTAAACCCCTAAAACCCTAAACCCTAAAACCCGAAGCACCAGACAGACGAGGCAGTCGTCGCTGGGCCTGGGGCTGCTTGAACTTCTGGGCCGCTTGGCCGGGTTTAGGAGGATGACAAGACCACCCTGTACTTTGAAGGAGGTCTTGAAGCTACCCCTGAGCTCTGTTGATGACGTTTCACGGACATGCAGGGATGCATAAATGCACGGACATGCAGGGATGCATAAATGCATCGTCGATGACCCCACGCCCTAACTGCACATTTCTGGGTAGGGGCAGCTGAAGCCTAAGCCCTAAATCCTGAACCCTTTCCTCTGAACCCTGGACTCCGGACTCAAAATGTTGAGCCCTACCCTTTAGATCCTGAACCCTGATTTCTGAACCAAACCAATCACCGCAAACCCGAAAGCCAAAATCCTACGCAGTGAGCGCTGAACACCAAAATAGCAAATCCTGAAGCTCATACTGTAAGAACTGACTTCCAGATCTTAAATCAGAAACTCTAAAGCCAGACTCTTGACCCCAAAACCCCACCCCAGAGAGTGTTTAGGGTTTAGGGTTCACAGAGCCCTTTCACAGCCTTTCCAAAGCCATCAAGCACGCATCGTAGGAACCCTCAATCTTAGGGACCTGAAGGCCAAACCCCTAAGCCCCCCCAAACCCTAAACCCTCAGAATCCTTACAGAGCCCTGAAGGTTTCCACACTCAAAACCCCAAAGCCCAAAGTCTAAGATTCCCCCAAACCCTGAACCCCAAACCCCTGAAGCTCTAAACCCTAAACCCTAAAGTCCTGAAAACCTCACCGCCTTGAAAGAAGCCCGAATCCTCGAATTCGAGACTGAGGAGCTTCCTCCCTCCTGCTGGGCCCTCTCGCGGGACAGCTCTCGGAGCCTTTGCAGCCCATTCGGGGTTTCAAAAGGGTTTCATAGCTCTGGCGGGGGCTGTCTCAGCATGGTTTTGCCACCATCGTTACAGTTACAGGAGGTTGCATAGCTCAAAATCTAGTGTTGCCAGAGCAGCCACGATTTCTAAGCTCGGCTGTTGCCGCTCGGAAACGTGACGCTAAGCGTTTTTGCTTTATCCCTCGGGATGCGTTTGTTGCTGATTCATCTTCTGCGGCTTGATTTCGACATCACCCCCTAAACCCTAAACCCTAAGCCCCTAGTTAACCCCTGAACCCCTTGAAGCTTTGGACCGCAATGGCTCCAATGAGCAGCGACTCCTTGCGTATGGGCTATGTTGGTCGCCTACCTTATGCTTGGGTCATTTAAATGAGGATGCTACTATTTAGGGTGCTGTATTAGGGTCCCTGTTTTCGGAAATATTTCTTCAGAACAGGAACCCCGCGTGCAGTCCAGAATTTTGCTTGTTCCGAAGTTAGCGGCGGTAGGTGATGCTGTCATTTACTTGTCGCTTTGGGCGGCCCTCGATGCTCCCATTTCGTCTTTGTTGATAAAGTCACTGCAACAAACGAGTTTTCGAGCTGTCCTCTTCCAAAGTCTTTCAGCAGCTTTACATGGAGCTCTAAACCCAAAGTAAACCGCCTGGACCCCCTCACTTTGAAAGCCTATGCCAAGGACCGAACGAAGCACACTCTGGGCAGACGGCGTCCTATGGTCGCCTGACCTGGGCTTTCTCAAAATTTTCGGAGTTTATATGGGGGTTTCCGAAACTAGGGGCACCTTATTTTGCGGTCGTTTAAATAAGGATCTTATTATTTAGGGTGCTATATTAGGGTCCCCCATTTTCGGACACGCCCATATAGGCGCATGGAAGTGTTTTAAAGGGGCTTCTATAAGGGTACCATGTCTGGGCATGGGGGATTATGGATGCAGGGTTTTAGGGTTTCTTGGGTTTGGGTTTGAGGCTTTTTCGGGTTTTGGGTTTTGAGGGGATTTTGGGGTTTGATGCTGGTGGCTCAGCTCGAGGGCTGGAGACCGAGTTACAGAGTACTTTTGACTCTTTCTGTTACGGTTACGGCTCCTTTGTTGTGAACTTGTTGAGTATGTATAAATTAAGTTCTGCGATGATATAAATCTTGCATTACCTTAAGGACCCTACACTATGGGAACTATGGTATCTTCCTTATTATGGGGTAATGCAGGATATATATCATCAACCGTCTCTCGTCTCTTTGTGGAGGGTCTAAGTATTTTTTTTTGCTGCGGGTCGCTGAGCTGCAATTTCGGATTTTTCCGGAGTATCGTGGGACCTTGAGGGATCGGATCTAGACATAGGTTAGGAATCTGGTTCCCTTGCAGACTTTATAGCTGATGCTCCGAAGTCTTATGCAGTCAGCCATACTCCACCTACCCGCCCCTACTCTTACAAAAAAGCGATTCGCTTAACCACTGAAGTTCTGCGCAGGCATTGCAGCGTCTGCCCTAAAGTCTGAAGTGCATCGAGTTTCAGGTTAGGCTGTTGGGTTTAGGGGCTTAGTTTAGGGTGTAATATAGGGGCTTGAATAATTGCCTATACAATTGTTTGGGGGGGTTCCTAATGATAATATAAAGGGCCCCAAAACTTCTAATTATTAAGGCCTTTACATCGTCCTAAACC